GAAGTCACCACTCCATCTCAATTCTAATAGCATTTCATTAACTCTTTCCCACTTTTCATGCTAGTTATCTGCCCTCACTTATCTTCGCAATCAGCAGACTCATTTACCCCCCCCCCCCGGCTCTTCCTGAAACTACTCCCATCTTCCCAGCTCGAACTTTGCAAGGAAAAAATCAGTGAGAATGGGTAATTTTAAAAGCCGTTGTTATACTATTAGGTTGTCCCATAAGCCTTTAATTTTTGAGTTTTCGCTGTGAAAAGTCATACACTCTTTATTCCAAACTAGCTGCCTTACTCGGCTCCGCCCGGCTCTGTCAAAACACTATAATAGTTGGCCCATACTATCCCTGTACAACCTTTTCCTGTGCCCACTTCTAGGTGGCAATTCCCTATCCCCGTTTCGTTCGTAATCAGCATGCTCACTTACTCCCCTCCCCCCCCCCGTGCCAAATCCCAGCTCCGTAGTAAAACCAAAACTCGATAAAATCGATAAACGTTATGGATAATTATAAAAACTAATATTGTACTCGTAAACAGCATGCTCGATTACCCTCCTGTGCCAACTCCCAGCCCCGTAACTCAGACTCTACAAAAAATCGATAAAATTGATATATTCGATATCGATCGATGGTGAAAAGTAGCCTACGACACCTGCCCCCCCCCCCCCCCGAAGTGTATGTGTGCCACGTTTGGTCCGGATCGGTTCAAAAAGGAATTTTGTATTCGGAACATACCTACGCACAGACATCCAGACAGACAGACAAACAGACATTCAGCTCAAAATTTTTAGCTTTATATATAAGACCAGAGCGTCACCTCTGCTTCGCAGAGGTTCGCACTGGCTCTATTATCCATGCCTTCTTCGTGATCGCATAATAATGACTTTGAAACTCACCGCGCGATGCTGAACATAACGAATGAATTGTAAACAACCATTCATTTTTAGAGCTTTTCCATGTAAGATTGGTAATTTTGGGAGAAAAAATTTTCCCGCAGAAAAACAAATGCGATTTTGAATGGGTTACTGAATTTATTTTGGCTTTATATTCGTCATAAGGATAAAGACCACCTTGGGCTACATATCTATTCAAAACTCCTCTCAGTTTTTATAGTAAAAACTTGACAAATCAACAACATGCTCAGTTACATTTTTTGGGGCCAATTTTGTGTAAAAAAGAGACTTTTTGCTTACTTTTCAGCTGAAATCAATGTTTTTCGGATTTACTTGCTGAACGAATCCACGACTTTGCAAAAAGTCCAATTACCGACCTATTTTGGCGGGCCAAAAGTAGCGTGGATCCGTTTGACGCACAGTTTTCGATGGTTCCACTTACTGGATCGGCTTGTGGTTTTGCATAGTTTACCTACACGCTGACAGGGTGCTATGACCAAAATTCTAGATCAAGACGCTGGCTGCAACTTTCTCTGTGAATTTCGTGACAGACAGATATACACACACAGACAAACAGACAGACGCTTAGCGCTTTATTATAAGTCATGATAACCATTAGGATATCATTCGATAGAGCAAGGCAGGCTCTACAGTACCCACACTAATTATGCGACAGAAAACGCAAAAACTGACGATCCGCGTTTTTTTCGTTTTTTCTTCATAACTTCCTTCAAATTGCATAAAATACAAATCGGAAGAAAGCATGATGCTCAGCTCGTCAAGATGAATCTTCTGATATACTGCAATCTCGTACTATTCTGTTTTCAATCTGCTCGATTTTTGTGTGAGGACGGGTATTCGTAGTGGTGTAACTCAACGAAGAACACACATGGACGATTCATGTAAACATGGTTCAGCAGTGCTGTCCACGTAGATTATTATGTACTAGTGAGTAGCAAAGGATTCCCTTTCTATTGGGAAAGATAGGCCGTTTAATTTTGAAAAAAATCGATGTCTCTCAAATTTTCGCTACCGTAACCATACAGTAAGACGCTAATTTGCAAAGCAGGTGTGTTTTTCGTGATCAGCAGGTTAGATAAGCTCTATGCGCAAATTTTCCAAGGTCGGAACCTTTCATTTTTCTCTCGTTCTGGGCTGTGAAGCTCGCCGGACGGGTTTTGGCTAAAATATTGATGATCTTGGATTGACCGGAAACTTCGCCCATAGAGGTTTTCTGACCCGCTGATTACAGAAGTAGTGTCCTCTGTGCAGCATAAGTTCTTTTGGCAGAGTTATGCTGAGAGGAATGCTGCGATACTACGCAAGTTCCTAAGTTTGTCTGCCCTTTGCGCGTGTCTGTTGGACAACTTACCTGCTCCTATTTGTAACTTGAAATCATTAGAGGCAGTGCTTTTAGAGCATGCTTAAACTGGGCCCTTATCTGTATTAATCACCGAACTGTGAGCTGACGAACTCACGTCCTCATAAAAATCGTTCGAAATTTTAAGATCGCATATTTTGGCCAAATATCGCCGCGAATGGTTACAGATGACTCTGATTGTAGATACTATGTTTATATACACATGTAAATTGATAATTTATGCCGCATACTGCTGCTTAACCCTTGTGCCAACTCTCACAGCTGTAACTCAAAGTTTGCAAAAAATCGATAAGCCGATATCGACCGATGACGAAATGTAATCTATCAGACCAGCTCGGCTCCTAAGGCTGGGTTCGTATTGATTCCCATGTTCCGGATGTTCCCGCACAGTCCCGCAATGTTCCCGCACTGTGCTGCACTGTGCGGGAACATTGCGGGACTGTGCGGGAACATCCGGAACATGGGAATCAGTATGAACCCAGCCTTAGGAGCCGAGCTGGTCTGATAGATTACATTTCGTCATCGGTCGATATCGGCTTATCGATTTTTTGCAAACTTTGAGTTACAGCTGTAAGAGTTGGCACAAGGGTTAAGCAGCAGTATGCGGCATAAATTATCAATTTACATGTGTATATAAACATAATATCTACAATCAGAGTCATCTGTAACCATTCGCGGCGATATTTGGCCAAAATATGCGATCTTAAAATTTCGAACGATTTTTATGAGGGCGTGAGTTCGTCAGCTCACAGTTCGGTGATTAATACAGATAAGGGCCCAGTTTAAGCATGCTCTAAGAGCACTGCCTCTAATGATTTCAAGTTACAAAAAGGAGCAGGTAAGTTGTCCAACAGACACGCGCAAATGGCAGACAAACTTAGGAACTTGCGTAGTATCGCAGCATTCCTCTCAGCATAATTCTGCCAAAAGAACTTATGCTGCAGGTTCCGAATTCCTTGGAAAACTTGCGCATAGAGGTTATCTAACCTGCTGATCACGAAAAACACACCTGCTTTGCAAATTAGCGTCTTACTGTATGGTTACGGTAGCGAAAATTTGAGAGACATCGATTTTTTCAAAATTAAACGGCCTATCTTTCCCAATAGAAAGGGAATCCTTCGCTACTCACTAGTACATAATAATCTACGTGGACAGCACTGCTGAACCATGTTTACATGAATCGTCCATGTGTGTTCTTCGCTGAGTTACACCACTACGAATACCCGTCCTCACACAAAAATCGAGCAGATTGAAAACAGAATAGTACGAGATTGCAGTATATCAGAAGATTCATCTTGACGATCTGAGCATCATGCTTTCTTCGGATTTGTATTTTATGCAATTTGAAGGAAGTTATGAAGAAAAAACGCAAAAAACGCGGATCGTCAGTTTTTGCGTTTTCTGTCGAATAATTAGTGTGGGTACTGTATAAGAAGGTGCTTATGCTTTTGCACCAGCTTCGAACCTTAAGTTTGAAACGAAAATATAGAAAGTTTCACCTGCCCAGAAAACTGAAAATTTGTTATATTTTTGTTCAAAATATTCCTACAGATCTCTCACCCGCTCACACACATACATTCCATATCAGCACCCAGATGTGCTATTGCTATATTATTTTATCAGCTAGGAATTAAGAATACGAACATTCCCATGTTTTTATCAAATTGATGCTGTGCTGTTCTTAAACTAGCAGTTGTATAGTAGAGTTGGTTGTATAAGTCCTTAAAAGTACAATCGTGAATTTTCAGCTCTCTATAAGCCCTAGTTCCCGAGAGATATCGAAATTAGCTTTCCTCGGGTTTTTCTTAACTCGACATTTCTCGGAAACCAAGGCCTATAGAGAGCTACAGTCCAGTAGATTTCCCGCTTAATATAGTGGGCTTGCACAGAGGGTGAAATGCCGTAAAATTTGCGCGTAAACATTTAGTTTCGACTGTGACGCCGGCCAATTGCGGGCGCAAAATGTCGGCAGTACTGCGTGGCTATCTATTTAAGAGCAAATTTTACCGCATTTCACCTTCTGTGCAAGCACACTATATTAAGCGGAAAATCTACTCGACTGTAAAAATTCACGGTTGTACTTCTAAGGGCTTCTAGTGTACAAATGTTGGTGTAAGAACAGCACAGCACTTTGGTAAAAACATGGGAACTTTCGTTTTTAAATTTCTAGCTGATAAAAAAATACAACAATAGCACACATGAGTGTCTGATATGGAATGGATATGCGTGAGCGAGTGGAGATCTGTAGGACTTTTTTGAATAAAGATATAAAAATTTTTCAGTTTTCTGGGCATCCGAAACTTTTCAGATTTTGTTTCAAACTTGAAATGGATCGAAGCTGGTGCAAAAGCACAAGCGCCATCTTATAGAACTTGCTTTGCTCTGTCAAATGGTATCCTAATAGTTATTTAGAATAAGATTTGTATGACTTGTTACAGCGAAAACTCAAAAATGAAAAGATATGGGACAGCCTAATAGTAATAGCGTGCTTACTCACTCTTATGCCAAATCTCAGCGTCGCATGTAAATGTTTGCTAACGATAAGCACCCTTAGGACAACCGCGAGCCCCAAAGTGTATGTGTTAAAATGATGGGTTCATAGGAATCTTCGATTCGGAATGTACGTACAGACATGTATTATACAACACGCAAACAGACACACACGCGCTAAATTAAATTACACCAAAATTTAGAATGGCAATTTTCCAGTAAACACTCGGATACTTACGTCGGTCATGGATGAGCCACTAGCTTGATTTCCATAATTGACACCCATAGGTGCAGCATAGTGATTGCTAGCCTCACTGGTTTGTCCATTAAATCTTTTCTGAAACATAGCTGATCAAGCACCTATTATAGCTGGAGAAGCTTACTGTTGCTTGTTGTAAGTTTTCATTCCTTCTCTTCTTCTTAGCATTTCTCTGAAAATTAAAGAGATTAGCTCAGTCAATAATGAACAGCATATGATAGCACCTTTGCAGAGCGACTCATAGTGAGAGTGCAAAAGTGCTTTAGGATAGAAGTTATAACGAATTTGAATTTTGGAAAAATAGCTTCTCTTTTCCTTCATGAATAAATAAAATTATTCAACGTACAATTGTGGTGCGAAGACGTCTCACCTTGCTGGGGGGATACTTGTCGTCACTGTATCGGTCAGGAGGCCTGCTGATTCTGTCTCCCTGAATAATACATTAGACGCAAAGAGAATTTCTTAGCTTCACTTTGGAGACGTCAATTTTTGACCTATCTTAGATCTAACAAAGAAGGAAGGAGGAGGAGTTTTGTAACCGATTGGTATGTAAAAAAAGAATCAGATTTATTTGAGAATCTTGAATGTGAAACAAGCGAGACCTTCAGGTAAGATTATTGTGACATATGCCAACCTGATTTAATGAAGTTGAGCACTTTTTGCTTACATATATATGCCTTTCATACCTTAACAATTTTGTTCATATTCCCTTATGTACAAGTACCCAATTTGTAGATAGCGGTCTCCCAATGGTAAGCAGGTTACTCATCACGGGGAGAGTACCTAACATAGACTGGCCTTCGAAAAACTACATATGTATTTGGATCAACTTGAACGCTGATTTCAAATTTGTCAACCCTGAGTGCGATACGTCAACCCTAATAGTCTTTACTCCAAACAGAGTTATGGGGTTCCTCGCGCAAAATTTGCATGCCCATCGACCTACTAGTCTTCTCAGACAATTACTACAGCATCCGCGGCCCTTAATAGTGCGTTTTGGTGGCGCGCCGGCGTTGAATTTTTATACTGACTATCCGCGGCTCTTGATTCACTTGCTTGGCGACCCGCGGCTCGATGTTTTCGCTAGTTAAAGGCCGCGGGTTTTAATTGTCCTACCTAGACCACCCGAGTCTCGGGAAAAAACACTCGGGCGGGCCACTGACCTCATTGAAAGCACTGCATATTTGGTTTCCAGACAAGTCTCGGCCCTTATCGGACACCGCCCATATCATAACTCGGTTATGCCGTGGGCCTTAATGGGCGCCTTGCACATCATTTTCGGGCAGGCCCGGCCCTTCTAGGCAATTGCCCAACAGAATCAGTCTGACGAGAGAGAGTTCCGCCTTGCCGGACGCCGCAATTCTTACACTCTGTAAACAAAAACGTTACTCGCATGAGATGCGCCGCGCTGATAGAGGTACCCTCAACGGTTAGGTCGTTGATTATCGCTCCTCGGTATGTGGCTAGTAGTAAAGACGGTCTGCTGAGGTGCCCTCTCCTAGGTTAAAGCTGGAACTCAGACCCTACGACGGAAGACAAATTTTTACGCTTATCCTGACCCATGTGCGAGGGCGAGGAAAATGGAAACAGGTGTTCAAGAAATGGAATAAATGTACATTACTGCGTTTATCAACCGCGTATCGGGCCACCCCGGATGCATATCGCGCATCTGTCGGGTGCTTTCTGGACATTCGCGAGTGTCGTTCAAGCGCTTACCGGCGCATCCGCGGGTAACTCTGGGCCGCTTAGCGTGCGTTTATTCTACCACCCGAGGCATGGATGAAACGTCGGCGGGGGCCCTTCCGCGGGTAGTCGCAATAATTGTCTGAGTTACGGTGTCAGTAATCAGGTGGTTATGCAATTGCTCCCTATCAGCAGAAGAGGTGCTCTGATGTTATTTTAGAATCTTAGCATCTTTTCAAGCAGATTCTCAATTGAAGGGTGTCTTCCCTCATACAAAAATGTGTCAGTTGCTAGTAAAACTTACACTCGCTTCAAAGTACTGCGCCGCAGCTGAGAACAACATATATGATCAGCTTTTCAAGTTGATTACAGTATTATTTATCTGAACATTCAATTAAGGCTTCAGAGGCTTAAGGTCGAACAGCTTCAGGTAAGAAATTCTTTTGAAAGGCCTGTACTCTTGAATTTGGGATCACATAACTGTTCATGCAGAGTGAAAGAGTCAACCGCTTACCATTTCAAACAAAATCGGTCCTGGCAAAAATAAAATATGTTCGGGCAACCTGTATCTGTCATACTGTAAACTATAAGATTGTATGCCCTACTTAAACAGCCCCGCAGTAGCTTGGGTGCCCATTTGACACCGCACTCGACCAAGCACACCCGAAGCGGCTGTTAGCTACAACATCGGTGATATACTTGGTGGGTGAACCTTCGCCCTCAAGCTCCCTGCCTTCACTCAAGACAAATCGAGTGGCAAGTCGGTGGAGATATTTGGCGGCAGAGATCGTGTGTATCAATGTGATTGACGCCTTTTCAGCCCCTGAAGACGGCGTCTTGCCGAAACGTCGGGTAATAAAGTATATCATCTATAGCAACCTGTTACGGCATAATATAGCATTTGAAATTATTCATCCTCAAGAACATGCCAAAGTTCAAAGATAAGAGGACTCAAACATATTCGTGTAATCTTTTTTACCAGTGCGTCACCTCTGCTTCGCAGAGGCTCGCACTGGCCTTACTTTCTGTATGCTTAACTCATTCCCGCATAATAATGACATTGAATATCACCGCGCCATGCAGGCTATTACAAATGATTAAAAAACAACTGCTCATTCCTAGAGCTTTTTTGTGTGAGATCCGTATTTTTGCTTGGATGAAACTTTTCCAAGAAGAATAAATGCGAGTTTGAATCGGTTTTTGGACTTTTTATGACCTGATAGTCACCATAATGACAATAATCACCATAGACTACATCTCTGTGCAAAAATCTTCTCAAATGATCAGGTAAAATTTTGGCAAATCAAACGTTTACCTAACCGATTCTTTTTGGCGCCGTTTTCGCAAAGTAATAAACTTTAGGATTTTCTAGGATAAAGTCCATGGCTTGCACATCAACTTGTCAAACATATCCGTGACTTTGCAAAAAGTTGTGTTACAGGCTCAATTTTACTGGCCAAAAGCCAAGTGGATCCGATTGACGAGCATTTTTGAGGGATCCACACAATGGATCCGCTCGTGCTTTTGTTAGCTAGGGACGTCTAGGTAAACGCTGTATGGCGCGGATCGGTTGTTAATGACACTGGAACATATCGAAGGCAATTTGAGCCGTTTCTGATATTCTTCAAAAATTTGGTTGCCATTCAAAAAGCTCTGCGAACCTCAAAAAGTTATGTATTGAAACCAGCACGCGCGAAATCTTGTTGAACAAATATACAGATTTTTTTGTTTTTGAACGGCCTATCTCACAGTGACGCCATGTGCTGTGAGTTCTTACCGTAACTACAGTAACGAAGGGAGATCGGTTATTCGCTCTATACTGTTAATCTCAGTTGAAGCCAGTTCTACAAAATGGTATCTACAATACCGCTCATAATTCGTCAAAAAAGTCGCCGGAGTGCGGCGGAGTGTGGCGGAGTGCGGCGCACTTCACCACACTCCGCCGCACTCCGGCGCACTGCGCCACACTTCACCACACTCCGCCGCACTCCGGCGCACTCCGCCGCAGTCCGGCGACTTTTTTGACGAATTATGAGCGGTATTGTATGTAGAGCAGTCTGTTATGGAATTTTCGGAATTTTGCGATATTCAGGGAAATTTTGCACATTCTGTAAGCGGTATTGTACTCGACGTGCTAACAACATTTCTTATATTGTTTTGCTGCTGGTGGCACATTGTAGGATAGAATATCTGCCAAATTACACGACCTTCGAATTTGAAAGACAATTCATGAGAAGGCGATTTTGTAACATCATAATCTGACGAACAATTCAAATAAAGATCTGTGCTAAGCATGGTCCGATAGAGGTGTTCACAAAGTTTTCAACTCACAAAAATTTGCAGACAATTTCCGCAACAGGTAGGGGAAAAGTGCAGGCGAAGTTGCGATCTTGGTTGGTCCAGCTACTTCTATCTCACTTTAGCTTTACTGTAAGACTCTCTAGTGCAAAATAAATAGGATTTTCGTAAAGATCGGGACCAAAAACCACTATGAGTGAAGTTTACAGTCAATCCGAGAACTTCAATATTTTAACCAAATTTTACGCCGAGGCCAAGAGTGAGGAGCGAGAGGCCAAGAGCGCGCTATATTAGTGTGTATTGCTTCTAAGAAGCTGGAAAAAATATGGTGTGTATAGGTATAAGAGAGGTGTCTAACATGATTTTTGAGGGAATTACGGAGCAACTTTGGGAGAGCCGATTTTACGGCCTGAGCATGCATGTTGGGGGGCTAATAACTCTGCGAATATTACAGCTACGGGGCTGGGGTTTGTTTTATTCGACAGATCTCTGAAAATATGATTTTTAGAGAGAAGGTCGTAGAATAACAAATTTCCATTAAAAGTGCCTAATTGACAGCCGAACTTGGGAAATCTGTCAATAAGGGCGATTTCGGCGCCTTATATCTCTAAGAGTTGCAGGGCTGGGGTAATCTCATGTGGCCATTGACATGTAGTTTTGGTAGCTCTATTTTTCTAGGGGTAGCTCGTGCTCACAGCTCCAGCGTAAGAGGCGCTATATAAAGGCGATAGTGCATATTTTAAATTTTATCTCCGCGGAGAGTAGGGATGACGAGCTGGGATAGCCATTCTTCAGTTTGTATTCGAGGGGGACACCACATATAATTCGGAGAAAATGTAGGGGCTCCGGCTGTGGGAGCCTATCTATAAACCTTCCCGGACTTAAAAAAAAAAACTTAGACACGCGATTTTTCCTCTTCCCCCCCCCCTTTCTCTCTCCCCCCTTATTTTTCCCCCTCTCTTTAATACCGCTTCGTGTACAGTTATCCCGCGGCCATCTGGACCTGGTTAGGGGCTGAAAACGGCTAAAAAAGGGGGTAAATGGGGCTAAAAAAACGCGATTTTCGCTTATTTTTTCTTAATTTTCTTATTTTCTTCAATTTCGATCGTGACGTGGGGTATAAAGTGGGCGGAGCTTGCTTGGAAAAGTTTCAGCTGTATAAAAGCACTGGAAATGAGCTTATTATGGAGTTTTTCGAATTTTTCGCTTAATTTTTCAATAATTTTACCGATTTCCGAAATTTCGAAACCTCCAGAATATCGATTTTATCGATTTGTGCCGATTTTTGGGGTTTTGCAACCTCCAAAATATCGATTTTCGCCAATTTTCGGGATTTTGCAACCTCCAAAATATCGATTTTCGCCAATTTTCGGGATTTTGCAACCTCCAGAATGTCGATTTTATCGATTTTTGAGGTTTGATAGTTCTCTAAGCTCAAAATATCGATTT